AGTAGAGTATCTGCACCCTGCTGTCTACTCCCAGCACCCCAGTTCTTAGTGGCCACCATGACCAGGATCGACAGAGACAGAACAGAGACCACTGACTCACACAGAGTGGGGGAAAATCACTGTAAATCTGTTTTTCCAAATCATGTTATTTTAAATGCCCTGGGAAGATGCCCACATGTACAGGGACACTCAGCCAGGCCAGAGGCGCTTTGTCTCTCTGAAAGGCCCCATTGTGACCCCACACCGGCCCCAATTGATTCTTGGAACAACAGGGCCTTTTGTAGGGCCTGAAGGCCGGCTAGCTCCTGCCTACGGCTGGCAGCTCAAACCCTTTGCTGTCTTTTTAAGGTCAGCAGCAGGAGGCCCTAAATTCTCCATTCATGCTCCTTTGTGTGTGTGTGTGTGTGTGTGGGGGGGGAACGACAGTGTCCCAAACCGCCAGGGTCCTGATAGGAGATGTTTTTTTTAGAGTTTGTTTCTGGAGGGTGAAGGACGCTTAGCTCCTATAAACTGTGTCTTCTCTGGGAGACTACGTGCAGAACCTGGAGGAGTTGGGATGTTGGCCTCCAGAGGAGAAGCCCTCTCCCCAGGGCCTCCTGCCATGCACATGGAAGGCCGCCAGATGGAAGCTCCCAGGTGTCCCCAGAGACCCATGAAGGTGAGAGCCTCTTCCTTGTCCTGGTTGGATTTGACCCAACAGTGACTTTCACTGTTTGCCTTCATATTATGCACACCCTCACTGACACATATGTCCACAAGTAATTGTGTATCTGGTGGAGCTGGGCCCCCAACGACTGTGGAAGGCTCAATGTCCCATCCGGAGCACCTCCAACCACTGTCTCAAGTGCCTGGCTTCAACCTCTCCTCACTGGAATCATACTCACCACATGATCTCATCTCACTTTCATTCCCTGAGGGGCTAGAGGACAGACCTTCAGGAGGACAGACCAATTAGAACATCCAGCAGTGAGCTCTGCTCACCCATGCAGCCGTGTTTATTGAACACTGACCCTGTGCCTCTTCTGGCGCCTTGTCCTGCCCTGGGTGTTTATATAACTGAACCTGGGTCCCAACACCATGATCGGCACACAGGCTGCTGGGTTGATCAGGGGGTGGTAAGGTCCTTTGCAGTGACCCACAAGACCCAGGTGGTCCAATGACCTTGTTTGTGAAGGAGGAAGGAGAAATCTTTTCCTGAGCCAAGCTCATGTCTTGGAGGGAATGACAGGGGTTTGGCCAGTTCCACAAGATTTGGTTCTAGGTCACATCACAGACATCGGCTTCTCAGGCCCATGAAAGGTTTCAGCTTTTTGTTCCATGAGCTTAAAAACACCCAGTTATTCACCTTCTTTATGAAGCACTGGCTGAACTGAGTGGGCCTTTGGCTCTGTAGGGGCTGCCAAGTGGCATCCAGTAGCCTACGTGAACTAACATTGTCTTGATTCTGCAGCTCAGAGCGGCCAGCCCCTCAAAGAGAACACATGGCCTGCTGCCCACCTTGCTAGTGATCTGGAGGCAGTTCCAAATGCCTGACTCCATCTCTTCAGAAGCCCTGCCTGCTGGTGTTGTTCCCACCACAAGATCTCATCTTACTCCCATTTCCTGAAGCTGGAGGACAGACCCACATGAGGACAGGCCTGGAATCCCCAGGGTAGCAGTCAAGCACAGAGTTCCAGGGCTGGAAGGAGCTGGTGCTAAATCCAGCTCCACTTTTCACTTGCTGAGTGAGCCTTAGTTTCTTCACCTGTAAAATGACAGTGGAGTCCTTGGATGGTACAAATAGTTAACATGCTCAGCTGCTTTCTGAAAGGTTAGAGGTGCAAATGCACCTAAAGGTATTGCGGAGGAAAGGCCTGGTGATCCACTTCTGAAAAATCACTCAGTGAAAACCCTGTAGAGCACAGTTCTATTCTGGCACACATGAGTTTGTCATGAACTGGGGTTGACTCAACAGCAACTGAATTTTTACAATGACAGTCATGCCCATCTTCCATGGTTGCTGGGATGATGACAGGAGGTTCTATATATAAGGTGCTGACAATGCCTGACGTAGTACAAGGGCTCAAAATATGGCAGGTATGATGGTTGCACAGGTGTGAAGTTGAGGTCTTTGGGGCAGTCATATTTGGGTGTTGGTGCTGCTTGACCTTTGATCCAAGTCAGGATCAACAAGTAGGCAGCATCTAAGGATTGTCTTGCCTATTCCTGGAGTGGAACCTGGGCATGCCCTGGAGGAGGTACTTTCCTGCCCAGCACTCAGACACAGAAGGTGAAGCATGTCAAGCAATGAGAAGTTTGGTGACAGATACCCTTCCACACTTTTGAGGGACCAATGGCCCCAGCATAAAGACCAATGGTCCCAGCTCACCAAATGCTCATTTGACTGAATGCCCATGCCACATTCTCTGAGGTCTGAGACCCTTTTGTCTATTGCCCAACAGGCTTCTTAACACCCTGCTCCTCAGGCACAAGAGGCTTCTGAAGGAGAGATCTGGAGAGACCATGCCCATACCAGGAAGAACTTCTGGTCAGCAAGCACATGCATCTGCAAACATACCCTAAACAGCTGGATGCAGACAGAAGCCAGCAAGGAGGTGAATGTGAGGAGGCAGGAGGCCTGAGCAAGGACATTGGACAAAGGTGGCTGGGGTCAGGGGGTGGGAAGTCTGGGAGAAGGGAAAAGCAAGACCAGGAGAAGGTAGTTTTTGAGGCTGGAAATGAAAACTTGCCCATTCATTAACATCCAATGCAAATAGAATTCAAGGCAAATGCAAAATGAAGGTGCCTATCTTAGAAAAAGACTCAGGATAGGAGGAATGAGAAAGTCATGTGAGAAAATAGAGAAAGACCATTTAAAAGTTTCTTTAAAGAAAATGATTAAAATTCAAAATATTGAGAAACTCTTGGAAATTCAATTAAACCTTCTTTTCTCTTTTGGAATAGGGCAAAAATAAGCCTCTTTAGAATCACGGTGCTAACTTAATGTCATGCTACCATTTTATTGAAAAAATGAGACTCCTTCAATCAATACTAGACTGTAAATTTTGTTAAATATATAACAAGCATCTTTTCATTTTTTAATTTGTAGTTTAATTTTTCCAAATCTCCAGTCAAATATTTTGTTCTTATTTACTTTGAAATTTTGGTTATCTTAAGAGGATTCACTAAAAGAGGCTCTATTCTGGTACCAATTACCTTTGGATAATGAAGGACTTCCTGGACATGCTGCTGGGACCCAATTTAATAGAGGGAGTAAGATGGAAGGGGAGTAAAATGTCACCTAGGTAAGCCCTCCACCTGAGGTTTGAACCTCTGCTCATTAGCCATCACTTCAGCCTCAGACCCTGCCCATATGTCTCCATGATGAGAGCTGATCACTTTTGGAGGCACTTGGTCTGGTGTCTCATCTATGTAGTGTCATTCACTTCTCTGAACCATGGAATAAGGGAATATTTAATAATGGGAACACAGGAGGAAAGAAAGTGAGGAATCCCTGGGTAGTGTAAATAGTTAACTGTTTGACTACTAACCAAAAAGCTGGCAGTTTGAACCCACCTGAGGCACCTCAGAAGATAGACTTAGAGATCTGCTTCCAAAAGATTGTTGTTGTTATGTGCTCTCGAGTCGGACCCGACTCATAGCCAAAAGATTACAGGCATTGAAAACCCTACAGAACACAGTGCTCTGCACACATGGGGTCTCCATGAGTCATAATGGATTGGGCTGTCGGGATTCCTAACTCAGTACCTTCCTTCCTAATCATCTCCTCTCCTTTCAACCAAGCCTCCTCATAACCAAAACATGGCATTTGCCACTGGGCATCCTTTCCATTCACTTCCTTTCACACTGTAGTCTGGTCCCCTTTCTCTGATACAGACTGGCCCGAGCAAATTCTAAGAACAGTTTATTATCCACATCACTAATTGGACACCTGAACAACAGTCTACAGAACACACTGCCTAGAACATTTCTGATAAGCTTTACAAAGAGAGGAAACTTCTGAATCTTGTTTTCTTTTGGCTTAAAAGATGTTCTATTTGAGCACAGACCACTTTGTATTGTAGGAAAAAGGAAGGAGCCACCAGGCTGGCACTTGGCAAACAAAGCTCTGCTGTTTTGTACAGATGGTGGCTGAGCACCGGTCCCCTGTTGGCCCCCTTGATGTGCCCTTTGACGGTTGTGTTGCTCCAGCATTTCAGAGGCATGGATGCCCAGTTAACTTTGGTGTGGGGAGGGTGGGCACACAAGACACCCCGTTGTTGAACAGAGAATGTAAAGCTCAGATAGAGGAATACCTAGCCCCATGCTCACTGAAACGGCAGTGGTCAGGCACAGGTGGCTGTCATCTGAGCTGTCATTTGATGTTGTCTCTTCAGTTTCAGTGTCAGTCAAAGGATTTCTCAGGAAGAAAGCTGAAATGATGCTGTTCCTGACACTGGAGAATTAAACACAAAACCCCCAAAACACCCCACAAATGTATAGAACAAGAAGGCATTTTACAAAGTAAGTATTTCAAAGGTTTATCATCTTCTACTGTGGATATCTGCAAATACTTGTTGGGTGAATTTTAGTCCCCATAATAGCATTCAGAATATCTGTGAAGACTTACCAATGTGTCATGAGAGGGGGTTGCTCAGAAAAGCAAGGGGACAATTCCTATAGACAGTTCCAGGGGCTAGCAGAGGGTCTTTTATTTGTGGTCTCTGAGACTACAATCTCTACTTCCCACTTCAGGTTCCCTTTCACAGATAGGAAATGACCTTACAAAGATAGCTCAATAGTTGGAGGTTAAATACAGCAAGCCACCAACCCTTGACATGAAGGTATATGGGAGAGTAAACATAACACCACAAGAAACAGAGCTCTGCTTTTTTTTTTTTTTTTGGTCCCCCAACCCCCCAAATGTTGAGAACATTCCTGGGTTCTAAAAAGTTATGTAGGAAGGCTGGCCAATCAGTTAACACCGTCTGGGTTTTTTCAGTTAAAGTTCTTCTGCTGCTTTACGAAGACTTCCATCTGATTAAAGAAAATACTGCATGGGTCACGTACAGCAGAGTGGCTACGTATGAAAACACCTGAAACAAAGATAAACGACCATTAATGGGAATGCACCTTGGAAAAGTAACACCCGGGACTGTCCACACTGTGCTGACCACTCAGCCCTGCTGGCTGCTCATGTGGAGCTCAGGGATGACAAACTCAAAGTGTGTGGACTGCCATGACTTCCCACCACTCACTGCAGACATCCTTTCCTACAGAGCCAGATGTGGCCCCTGGAGTCCAGGTGAAATAAAAATTTATTGGACTTGGCTGCAACATGTAAGTGTCTGTCATTGGGCCACCACACAACTTTACATTGGGGCCAGCTGACTGGAAACAGGGTCCCTAAGTCCCCTCTCAAGTAAAAGCATCTAGCCGAGTATCAATTACTCTTCACAGAAACCTTCCTTCCCCCACATCTATAAGGCCAGTGTCGACCAGCTGGGATCCCAGCAGCCTCAGCTAAGAAAATACAAACATATGTGTTTGTTGGCTCTGGTAAAGGTCTTGATGTGACCTGAACATCTTCAGACCTCCATCAGAATTTTTATTCTAGGATCTTAATTTCATAGGCATGGACAAGGGAGTCAGGCCCCATAGGAAGTGAGAGACAGAGAAGGGGAGTAGAGATTTTGAGCTTTTGCCAAAAGGGGCTGCTTACTGAGAGAACTGATGAGAAAATCTAGTTAGCCATTTTGGCACTGGGAGCAAAGACCTTGGAAATATGGCCGAAAGTCATTGTGCAGCCTATCAGGCTCTGACTCACTATTTTCACTTGGGCACTATCCCCATTACCTTTTTCTGGCTGGTTGGTCTCCCTCAAGGCTTGCCTGCTCACAAGTCAAATTTCTGCACCTGGTTTTGTGACCTTGGGGCTTGGGGTCAAGAGTTTCCAGTCCAGGCACAACATTTAGGGTGGCTATGCTTCTGTGACTCTTGAAAATGCCCATAAATACCAGCCATCACCATGCCTGCTCTCTCCCTGCCCCCACGAATGGGAACAATCTTAGCCCTCACTGGCCAGAGGCGATGAGTAAGCCAAGTTATTGAATAACGAATTTAAAAGAAATCATCTGGAACTCTTAAGTGCCCCTTCTAAAAGGAACAGTCGTACATGAGTGAGCAGCCCCCCAAAAAGTGCTACCAATAAAGTGCCTCTCCAGTCACGTGGGAGCAATCCACTGTCTGGAGAATTTCAGACCCAATCACAACCCTTGACAGAAGTGATCTCAGCTGTGTTGCCCCAAAGTTCCCCAGGAGAACAGAAAACAGACACTTATTTTCCAAGTGAGGCCAAGATATGATACAATGGAAACTTTTAGAGCTGAAACATGGATGGGAATACTTTGTCCTTCAGAACTCCTCTCCCTAAATGGCTGCCATTATTGCCCATCACAGTTAAGATCTCCAGAAATCTATAGCTTTCCTGAGTCAACCCACACAAATCCCAGGGACCCTTTTGGCAATGAAGCACTGCTGACAGCAAAAGAGAGGGGAAGAATCTCAGCTAAGGAGCAAGTCCTGATAAGGAACCAGAGAGCGGCAAGAGGCAGGCCAGATACTTCCACTGGCCTGGTGTGTGGAAGAGGGGAGAAGGTTTTGAGGTGCCTCCTCACATATTCCCTGGATTGGCCACCAAGACCATCTAGAGGGCATGTTTTGGTGTGGGCAGGATCTGGGGTTACATCCCGAGCAACCATGACCCTTTCTTCACTACATACTGAATAGAAAAGTGTAACTTTATGTTGAACCTTGTTCCTATTTCACTTTGGTGGTTTTGACCCAATATTTCTACCTGCTGAGCACATTTTAATGTTTGATTCTGGCACTCCTGACTCTGTGTGGGCATGCTCATATTTATCCAACTAACAAAAATACGGAAACATAACCAATTATGTTAAATAGATAAATAGATGTTGGTATAATCATAGAGTGGAATACCACACAGCAACCAGAATGAAAAAAAAAAAAAAAAACTACATCTATACCCAACAGCATGGATCAATCTCACTAACATAAAGTTAAAAGAAGAATGCCAGACATAAGATTGCACACTGTATAATTCCATTTATACGAAATTCAAAAGAAAGCAAAATGAAACAAGGTAGTTAGAAATCAGGATAGTGATTATTCTTGGGGGTGGGAGGTGCACAGTGATAGTGGCAAAAACATTTGAGGGGGCTTCTGGGTGCTGTTTCTGTTCCATTTTTTAATCTGGATGTTGGTTACACAGGTGGGTTCACTTTATGAAAACTCATCAAGGCATGCACCTGTGATCTGTGCACTTCCCTGTATGGATGCTATATTTTGGTAAAAAGGAAAAGTTAGAACATAATAGAGCCCAGTGGTTCCCAACTAGAGATCTGTCTGGGGATGGGGCATTAATTCACTCACCTGAGCTCTTCCAGATGGTGGGGAATTAAAAAAACAAAACCCACTCAACACAGTCCAGTCTATATTTCACTACTCTTGCCTAGGATAATTTTAGGAAAATTATTGTTAAATCATTGTCTAATGTCTGTTATGAGGCAAGCCTTGTGGGGTTGGAGTGGGGAGATATGAGGCTCTTAAAGGATAAAACCAAACAAAACCAAACCCACTACCATTGAGTCAATTCTAACTCATAGCGACCCCCATTGGGTTTCCAAGGTGGTAAATCTTTATGGAAGTAGACTGCCCCAGCTTCCTTCTGTGGAGTGGCTGGTGGGTTTGAACCACCAACCTTCTGGTTAGCAGCCAAATGCCGTAGGCACTACACCACCAGAGCTCCTTTCTCATGGGATGCTGGTGGTGGTGGGGCAAAGTAGAATCATTTGAAGGATGACTGAGGAGGCAAATTACCAGCCTCTCAGGGAAGAAGAGCAGCCAAGATGCTATGTGTATGGGCTCCTACATCATGGGAGATGTGTTGGCTTCCAATAGTGAGGCATTTGAATGGGGAGCCAGGGATCCTGAGATGGCCTGAGATGCCCAGGTTTATGGAAGGGGGGAGTAGGCAGGGAGTTTAGGGAGGGGCATGTGGTGCCCTGGGACTGAGGCTAGGGCCCATGCAAACAAGGCCTCTGAGGGACTTTCTCCTAGCCTGGCCTCAGCATTCCCCTGCCTCACCTGTAGTGTGTCAATAGAAGACCCCTAACTAGGATACTGCATGGTTTAAAATCAGCAAGGGAGTGCATCAGGGTTGTATCCTTTCACCACACTTATTCAATCTGTGTGCTGAGCAAATAATCTGAGAAGCCGGACTATATGAAGAAGAATGCAGCATGAGGATTGAAGAAAGACTCATTAACAACCTGAGATATGCAGACGACACAACTTTGCTTGCTGAAAGTGAGGATGACTTAAAACACATACTGATGAAGATCAAAGACTACAGTCTGCAGTATGGATTACACCTCAACACAAAGAAAATGAAAGTCCTCACAACTGGACCAATAAGCATCACAATAAATGGAAAAAAGATTGAGGTGGTCAAAGATTTCATATTACTTGGTTCTACATCAATGCCAATGGAAGCAGAAGTCAAGACATCACATGGCGTATTGCACTGGGCAAATCTGCTGCAAAAGCCCTCTTTAAGTGCTGAAGAGCAAAGATGTCTCTTTGAAGACTAAGGTGTGCCTAATCCAAGCCATGGTATTTTCAATCATGTCATATGCATGTGAAAGTTGGACAATGAATAAGGAAGACCAAAGAAGAGTTGATGCTTTTGAGTTTTTTGTTGGCAAAGAATACTGAAAGTACCATGGACTGCCAAAAGAACTAACAGATCTGTCCTGGAAGAAGTACAGCCAGAATGCTCCTTGGAAGCGAGAATGGCCAGACTTCCTCTCATCTGCTTTGGTCATGTTGTCAGAAGGGATCCCTGGAGAAGGATATCATGCTTGGTAAAGCAGAGGGTCAATGAAAAAGGGGAAGGCCGTCAACGAGATGGATTGACACAGTGGCAACAATAATAGGGTCAGGTATAGCAAAGATTGTGAGGCTGGCACAGGACCAGGCAGTGTTTCATTATGTTGTACATGGGGTCAGTATGAGTTGGAGCAGACTCAATGGCACCTAACAACAACATAACAACTAGGAGACCTGATCATCGGCTCCAATAAGCCAGACTACATACTCCAAACTGGTGTTAAGAGTGGGGGTGACAGAGCACCTAGCTTGACCTCTGGCAACTCATTATTGGTAACCTTGGGCAAGTTATCCAAACTCTCTGTGCTCTGGTTCTCCATCCATGAAATGGGCATAATGGCAGTGGCTACTTCAAAGGGTTGTTGAGAGGGTTAAATGAGATTGTTCACTGAGTGTTCAAAATAGTGCTAGGCACTCAACAGTTGTTGTCTGTTTACATGCCTGCCCTCCACAAAGCCCAACCAGACATAAACCCTGAGCCTAGCCCAGGGCCTGGGGTAGTGCAGGCACTGACCAGAGGAGGAAGGAAGTCTTTGGCACATCACTTCTCTTCCCTTGGGCTTTGTTTTTCAGAAATGAGGGGAAAGTTGTACTTCATAAAAAAGTTAAAACCAAAACCAAACTCACTGCCATCGAGTCGATTCTGGCTCATAGCGACCCCATTGGGTTTGCAAGGTGGTAAATCATTAAGGAAGTAGATTGCTCCATCTTCTTTCCACAGAGCAGCTGGTGGGTTTTAACCACTAACCTTCTGGTTAGCAGTCAAATGCCTTAGGCACTGCACCACCAGAACTCCTTCTAGTGAACTGAAAAAAACATGAGGGTAGGTAGGGCCTGGCAGTCTTCAGCTTAGAAGTTCTGCCAGTTGGAGATGGAAGCTGCTTGTTATGAACATGTGTGGGTTGGTTTGTCACAGGCCAGTCAGGCATAGGTACAGGCCAAGTCAGGGTACTTACCACAGCAGAGATGTTTTCGTGGTACTGTTTATAGGTGAAGCCTTCTTGCATTGTGATGGTGGCCAAGGCTTCCAGGACTGAGGCACTGAGGTAAAACAGGGCAGCAACAGAGTGGTAGGCTGCATCCTGCAGGTTCACAAAAGGCATCAGAGATGGGAAGAACAGACATCACTGGGCTGCCACATGAAGATGAGAGGAGGGACAGTTGTGGTCCCAGCATGGCCTACTGGCCCCCTGCCCCTGCCCAGCACAGTTCAGGCCCTTTCCCTATCTTCTGCTACTTCCTTTGAGCCTTACTGTCCATCCTGATGTCTCTCTGCCTAATATATACTGTCTTCACACAGTTGGTTAACAAGCCCTGTCCAGCCAAGTTTTATTTCAATGGTCTTGGGGCCAGAGTGAAGACTTTGATGGAGAAGGGATGCTGCTTTACCTTGAGGTGGGATCAAGTGAGGGGGGCAGAGGCATCTTGGGGTTTCAATATGTGGAAATTGGTCCTGGGCCTGAGAAGTGTCATACGTGCTCATAGTCCTGGCTCAGATGCAGCAGGATGAGTGACCAGTGCAGGGCAAGAGAGGCCCACACCCTTTTCATTGTTTAGTTGTGTTTACTTTATTTTGTTTTTAGGCTTTTAGTATATTTAAAAACAAAGCACTAGAACAGGATTTGTATTGTAGTTGTAATTTGGAAGTGATTTCAAAAGTCTAAGTCTGAGAGCTTCTGATAGGGAGAGGCCAGCCAATGACCCCACCCTTCCTCGGTAGGTAACATGCAGGTGTCCCACACCTGCTGCTGTTAAGTTCACTGAGACTCATGATGACTCTGTGTGTTAGAGAAGAACTGCTCCACAGAGTTTTCTTGGCTGATTTCACTAGGCCTGTCTTCTGTGGAGTGGCTGGGCAGGTTTGAACCACCAACTTTTTGGTTAGCAGCCAATTGCAAATTTCTTGCACCACAGTTGACTTTATCATTTCATGGGCCCCAACTCTTTCTCTGGCAAACCTGCTTTAAAAGGCAGAGGCTCAGGGACTGGGTAGTAAATGTGGCCTCACCACTATGGAGCCAAGGCCAGTCCCCTGGAGTTGCCTGTGAGGGTCTAGCTCCAGGACTCTCTTCCCTTAAGATGACACCAGCCCTCCTGGATGATAGGAGGTACCAACAGGTACCTGGAAGGTGTGGGTGGTATGTGGGGAGGTTGGGATGCTGTTATTCATGAAGAAGGTAGTCATGCAGGAGAAAGTAGAACAGGTTCAATAGGAATCAAGCAGTGAACTAAAACCACCCTCTACTCTTTCTTCTTCTAATTTCCTTGCTGCAGGGAGCTCTGGAAGGAGCTCTGGTGGTGTAGTGGATAAGGCACTTGTCTGCTAACTGAAGGTCAGTGGTTCAAACCCAGCAGCTGCTCTGTGGAAGGAAGATGGGGGGACCTACTTCTGTAAAGATTTACAGCCTCGGAAACCCAATGGAGGTCGCTATGAGTTGGAATCAACTCAATGGCAGTCAGTTTGGTTTTTTTTGTTTGCTTGTTTAGGGAGCTCTGGGTTGCTGGGATCAGCTGTGAGCTGATGGCTAGGGTCTGCTCTTTCTTGGAACATAGATGGGCGAGTATGGAAAAAGCTAGCCTCTTGGAGGAAAGAGTACAACACTACAACCCCCTCCCCACACACATACACCAAGCACCCCTGGGCTGGGACTCACCAGGGTAACCCAAGAAGACTCCCCGCCATGGGCACCAATCATGTACAGGATGAGGAGCACAGTGGTGGCCACGAAGCAGAACACAGACACGAACATCACCCAGCCCTGGATCAAGGGGATAGGCACCAGGGACGAGGCTATCAGGATCCATACCAGGCCACCGAAGACCTGCAAAGTATGGAGGCAGAGAGTGAGTGTCAGACCCAGAGGAGAGCCCAAGCCCAGAGCGGCTCTAGACCAGAGACCACATCAGGTCACTAGGGGTGCAGAAAAATGGAAAGCAGACAAAGAGAACAGCAGCAGACATTTTCCTTAGCACAAATTACACTTTCATCCCACCCAAAGTCCTAGGCTGGATCTCCAAACTCAGTCTTCCCAATACTCTGGTTACTTATTTTTATAAATACACTATCTATGTAACTATGGGGCAATCTACTTCCATAGTGATACTGCCTCGGAAACCCAAGGAGGGATCGCTATGAGTCGGGCCCGACTTGACGGCACATAACAAGAACAACATGTAACTATCAGGGCTTTGAACTGGTTTAAACCAATTCAGTTATGACCAACACAGTGAAAGAGGAACAGATCCAAATTTGTAAAACCAGAGTGAGAAAAATTACAAGTTGAAACCCTGGAATGGGAGACTCAAAAGAGGCACAGTAAGCCTTTTCAGAAGCCTGATGCAAGAGACTGAATTACTGCCAGGACTGTGGAGAGCTATACACATTCAAAATTAATGTGGTAGGCCACTATCTTTAAGCCAGGCACCATTGTTTCCAACTCTGCCGATCAAGAGATTTGATTGCTATGCAACACACATACTGTCCTTGTTTTCTAGGAGGGCGATTATGTTTCTAGCAGGGCATCAGTCTGCAATTTTTCCCATTTCTGGTTATTGTTCTGGCACACTCACATTTTACAAATTTAGGTTTGTTCTTGTTTTGCTTTGTTGGCTATGACTGAACTGGAAAGAACTGGTTCAAAGCCCTGGCATCTATGTATTCATCCATCTATCTATTTAGCAATATCTATCTCTGATCTAACGTGTATGTATATGTATATACATACATATATTTTATAGGAGCTCTGGGAGCATAGTGCCCAAGGCACTTGACTGCTAACCAGAAGGCTGGAGGTTCAAACCCACCAGCCACTCCTTGGAAGGAAGACGGGCAATATACTTCCGTAGTGATACTGCCTCGGAAACCCAAGGAGGGGTCGCTATGAGTCTATGAGTCGGGGCCGACTTGACGGCACTTAACAACAACATATATATAT